CACAAAGAGCATTCTATAAAGCCATACTCAAAAGATTTAAGTGAAGCACAAAGAGAATTCTACAAATCAGTGAAGGGATATATCATACTAGCATGGTTCATAAAGGAAAATAAAATAAAAATAAACACAAAAGACGCATGTGATGTGAACAAAACAAAAACTGAGGTATACCAATAATTGTTGAAGAAGAAAGATTGGATGCCAACCGGGGCATCCCCAAGCTTAGATGCTTGAGTATCCTTGAAATATTTACTTGTTGTGCCTTCGGCATCCCCAAGCTTGAACTCTTGACTCTCCTTATTCTTCTCATATCGATAACTCCTCGTTCTTCGAACACTTCATCCACCCAAAACTTAACAAAAACCTTGTGAGATCCGTTAGTATAATAAAGAAAATCACTACCTTTAGGTACTGTTGTAAACTCATTCCAATTTCATATTAGCATTATATCTACTATATTCCTACTTCACCATGGTTCATACCCCTGGTACAACCCATAGATTCATCAAAATAAGCGAACAACACATAGAAAACAGAATCTGTCAAAAACAGGACAGTCTGTAGCAATCTGGAACTTTCATATACTTCTATAACTTCAAAAATTCTAAACAATTAGGACAATCTAAAAAATTTGCATAGAAGTACTGTGAAAAATTTCAAGATTTTATCACCCTCCAGTAAAAAAATGTAAATTCAATTACTACAACAAAAGTTTCTGTTCTTGCAATGCACACACCAAACAAGCATTCTAAACATTCTAAAACCAGAACTTAACACATTATTTTTATAATACAATGAATACATACAAGGGGATACTTATCTTTGAGAAACTTCCATGAAAAATTCTACATTGTTTCCATAAGCATGAAAACAAGTGTTCAAGGTCGACCCTCACTTCTCCAATCCATAACCTTCCAATCACTTCTCTTTTTGAAAATGTTTTTAGGCATAAGAGGCAAGCATTTTTTTTGTATTTTGCATTATTTTATTTTATTTGTTTGTTTCACCCACAGCTAAACAAAAACAAAAGGGAAAACAAAACCTACTTAGTGAAGAAAGCAAACAAGCATACATGAAAATATTAACTCCACACTATTGCCCCTCGGTAACGGCGCTAGAAAAGAGCTTGATAATCCCCAAGTGCAATGAATCATCATAGAAATTTCCAAAGGTGGAACTGATAAGTATGGAGTGTCGAACACGCAAGGAGCTAAAGGTAAGATCAATATTCTCTCAAGTCCTATCTGTCACTGATACGACTCTACGTACACTGAACGTTTGCTTCCATCTAGAAACGAGAAATAAAACTATGTTGTGGGTATGAAGAGGATAGCTTTGCATGATATCCGACAACTAAAATATAAAAATAGGCGATGTTAATATAAAGTTACAATATATTACTATATATTATAAATAGCGAGTGTGGAATAATGATGGATCGGTGTGCGGAATTGTCCTAGGCAATTGTTAACAAGATTACTGGTCATTATTGCAATTTTATATGAGGGAGAGGCATAAGCTAACATACTTTCTCTCCTTGATCATATGCACTTATGATTGGAACTCTAGCAAGCATCCACAACTACTAAAGATCATTAAGGTAAAACCCAACCATAGCATTAAAGTATCAAGTCCCCTTTATCCCATACGCAACAACCCCCTTACTCGGGTTTATGCTTCTGTCACTCAAGCAACCCACTATAAGCGAATCATGAACATATTGCAACACCCTACAGCGGGAATCCTTCACGTGTGCGCGGCACGGGAGGCACCATAGGACAGCACCAAAATAAAACATACAACTCAAACCAGTCTATATCATACATCAACCCAAAGACAAAAGAAATCTACTCAAAACATCATAGGATGGCAACACATCATTGGATCATAATATGTGGCATAAAGCACCATGTTCAAGTAGGGAATTACAGCGGGGTGCGGGAGACCAGACCGCGTAAAAGAGATGAGGAAGGTGATGAAGATGGTGATGTTGATGAAGACGATCACTACGGCGATGGTTCCCCTGGCGGCACTCCGGCGCCACCGAGAGGAAGGGGGAGAGAGTCTCCCCCTTATGCTTCCTCCTCCATGGCCTGCCCTCTAGATGGGGAGAGGTTCTCCCTCTGGTCCTTGGCCTCCATGGTGATGATGGCCCCGTTCGGGATCCTCCTCCATGGCCTGCGATGATGATGGCCCCCTCCGGTAGGGTGCCGGAGAGGGCCTAGATTGATTTTTCGTGGCTACAGAGGCTTGCGGCAGCGGAATTCCTGATCTAGGTTTATTTCTGGGGGTTTTGGTATTTATAGGAATTTTTGGCATTCGTCTCACGTCAAGGGGGTCCACGAGGCAGCGACAAGGTAGGAGCACCCTCCCGGGGGGTAGGGCACGCCCCCCTACCTTGTCGTCGCCTCGGAACTCTTGTGGTCCAACTCTTGTGCTTCGGGTTTCTCTTTTGGTCTATAAATAATCACCGTAAATTTTTAGCCCATTCTGAGAACTTCTATTTCTGCACAAAACTCGACACCACGGTAGTTCTTTTGAAAACAGCGTCAGTCCGGGTTAGTTCTAATCAAATCATACCAAAATCATATAAAATTGTTGTAAACATGGCATGAATACTTCATAAATTATAAATACGTTGGAGAGGTATCACCGATGCTTAAGCGCTAAACCGGGAAGGACTTTAGATGCTACTCGTGTTTTAATTGGACGTTTGTAGGACATTAGTACGAAGCTAGACCCCCAGATAAAGAACTTTGATTCAACATGCCCGGTGCTTAAGTGCTCGATCATGAAGGACTTTGATTTAACATTAGCGGTGCTTAAGAGCTCGATCATGAAGGACTTTTATTCAACATGACTGGTGCTTAAGCGCTTGGTCACAATGGACTTTAGATGGTATCTACATTTCAACTGGACCTATTTAGCACTTTGAACCAATGTGTCAGGTACATATGCCCACGAACCCTCCATACAGATTTAGACTGAAAAAATTATATTATGGTCACCGTCCTTTAGCCACGTGACATGAGATTGCTGCATCCACATCAATTCCTCCTGGTATAACAACTCATTCATCTTATCTGTCACTTTTTGAATCTCACATCTATCTGCGTTCATCAACATGAGATCTTCAAGTTGAGTGCGAGAATTCTCAATATACCTGACCACATTACCAAAATTTTCCAAGCTCTAGTAGCACAACTTACACATGGTGCCTCTGAGAGCCGCATGAACATATCCCAAAGTGTTTTTCTCTCCAGCTTCTCTCCATGCACTAGCAATAACGTCCTGAAGAGCAGGCTCACACTCCCACATTACTTCATACCGACGTAACCTTTGCTTAACTGCTCGATCAACATAGATCTTGCTGGACACATGAACCAGAACGTGATCGGAATAAGGAGAAGTGAGGTGCCTCACAGAAGCGAGGTCAAAAAGGTTCCTCCATGCCAGACTTGCCAATGGTCTATCAAGCCTCACTCTAACATTTGCGTTGCCAGTCCTCTTGTTTTCATAGGTATATGGAACACCACTAAAACCAAGATCAGCCAAATTACAAGTTCCCAAAACTTCCCGGAAAAATTGCATTTGCCCCGGTGCTCTAGCTGTCAGTGAAAAATGCTCAAAATCCCACATGCATTCATTAAAATCTCCTACAACCAGCCATGGAAGATGAGACTTTGCACAAAGGTCCTGCATCAAAGACCACATCAGATGGCGATCTTCTACTCTTGGCTCACCATATACACATGTTAGCCGCCAGGGGGGTTATCCGGGCCCGCCTTAATGTGTGCATCCATACAATGATCATTCGAGAATACCACGTCCACTGTTAAGTTTTCGTGCCAATACAAGGCCAGACCGCCACTATTTCCATTGCTATCCACACCCTCAAAGCCTCGCAGACCAAGCCTTGACCGATATATCTTCATCCTAGTTGCAATTTGCCTTGTCTCACATAAGAACACGATGGTGGGGGAAAGCGACTGAACCAAAGTCAACAGGTCACGAACTGTCCTGGGGTTCCTCCCTCCCCGGCAGTTCCAACTAAGGAGATTCATTGCGCCCGGCGGTCCTCTGCTAGGGAGGCCGCCTATCCGCTGGTTGATGTACTGTCAATAGCTGCACCGTCATCTGCCTTCAGCTTCTTTTTATTTTCACTTTTTTGCGGGGTACCCGTCCCAGAGCTGCTAGTAGGACCAGAAGCCTCAAATTGGACTACAATTCCTGTTGTGTTTCTAGCCGGGACAATGGTGCCTCTGTTTTTGTCCAGGAGGTCACTCCTAGTAGGTACATCTGGTCTAGGACTCGAATCATCCATTGTCCGCTTACCCAATACGTTCACATCCTCTGTTTGCTTACCCAACATGTTGACATCCTCCTTCTGTGGTTCCTAAGTAGCATCGCGCCCTAGTGCCAAAAAGACACCAGGGTCGTATAGCGCATTAGCCGCATTGAAACTCCAGCTATGTTGCATATGTTGCTCAGTAGCAGTATTATTTTGAGCTTCAGAACTGCCACGGCCTGCAGGTGTAAACACTTTGCCCCGGCCTGCACCTCTTCCTCTAGCAAAATTGCCATCTTCTCGGCCTGCACCTCTTCCTCTACCAAAGTTTCCATATGCTCCACACTCACCATCATACGCACCACCATACCACTCATCCCTGCCAGTTCCACGACCAGAGCCACGAACTTGTTCCTTAAATGAATGTATCTAGCACTAATTTGGTGTTAGATACATCCATTTAAGGGACATACTTTTTCCAACGGAGGGAGTAGTACATAGCAACAAGAATGCATGTGACCATGGAATACCATGCATGCCTAACACAACGGTTGCCATGATCATTGGACTGCTTGCTTGATGGGTGGTCGGGATACTAGTTGTGCGTGCAACTAGTTATGAAAAATCCACGTCATGGCCCGGTATCATAGAATGCAAACAATCGCGCATCAAGCTACTGGTTGTCCGGGATTTCAAAGGGGGTCGAAGCGAGATGGCCTTCCTCAAATTCTTCTTTCAGACTGCGTTGGTGCTGGAGGAGGTGGTGATTCTGTTGCCCGATGATCCGACGAATCGTATGTATCGCAAGATTGTGTTCCTGAGGTACATCGAACGGGCCAGTGAAGCGTCCCTACTGTGGGCAAGCAAGTCTGTTCCTCGAGGCTACCTTTGGAGCATCAAGAGAGCATCTGATTTCTCCCTCGGCGACCCTTTTGCAAACTACTATCACATTGGGTTGCATCACCTCGGCTATCATCATGAGGAGTAAGTTTTCTCTGGAAGTTGCTAGTGTTCTGTTTATGCAGTATGCAAGACACTGTTAGAGATGTTTGAAGATTCTTATCTGTGCTAGCCTGATTAGCTTAAGTGTCAAAGTTAGTACTACCATTGTTGATGCACATGGCTACCGTTCTGTTGCAGTCATGGAATTACGGACCACCATGTTTACATTTCATGCGATTTGATCAGCTGGCAGCGATGTTATATTGCACGGATTTGGATAAAAAGTGTTTGTTGTGACAATGGTGCTACATTGCACAGTTTTGGTTAAAAATGTCTGTTATGACATTGTCTTATCCTTGATTAGATGTCCTTCACGCTTTGTTTATTTTTTAACACAGGAAAGGCACCACGCCAACTTCATTTCAGGTCGTGTATGAAGTACATTATGAAGCACAAAGCCCTCAAACAATACATTGTGAAGCAATTGCACAATCAGACACATCCAAAAGCAGGTTCTGAAGATCTAGTATGAACCTGATGAGCGTAATTGTGAGCCACCCCAATGGTATCTCTAGGAATATGATGGACAGAATGGACAGGATGTGATGGCTTCTGTAAGAAATTGCCAAGAGATGACATCCTAAGATCCCTGCTGGCTGGAGCCACTGGTAGAAAACGGGCCTTTAGTCCCGGTTCTGGAACCGTAACTTAAGGGTCAGGACTAAAGCCCCCCCCCCTTTAGTCCCGTTTCTGTTACGAACCGGGACTAAAGGCCCTCCACGTGGCCACTGTCTGGAGCTCCACCTTTAGTCCCGATTGGTAACACCAACCGGGACTAAAGGATTTTTTTGAATTTTTTTCCTGATTTTCAAATTTCTGAATTATTTTACAATGTAATCTCTAATCACCCCTCATCACTGCTCAATTTAATCTATAATCTCTATTCTCTAATCATCCCTCATCATTCCAAATCGTCTAACTTCCCGTCCGGTCACCCATCCTATCACTACTCCAGCCTGAGCACACTTAACCTCTGAGTTCTATTCCCCCTAGTTTCCAAGTCTGCACTTGTTGTTTTCCTGGCAATAGTAATATGTCAATCCTATTAACCCTCAGGAGTTTAGCTTGAGCATGAAGTCACATGTTTCACTGTTTGAGTTTGAAACTATTATTCTAAAAAGCAATAATTATTTAGTCACACCAATATTTCTTGAATAAGTAGTTTGACCAGATTTGACCAAAATTCAGAAAAACTGAAACAATTATTTAGTAACACTAATATTTTTGAATAATTATTTAGTAACACAAATACTTCTTGAATAAGTAGTTTGACCAGATTTAACCAAAATTCAAAAAAAAACTGAAATTTGAGCATAACTTTTTTCCTTTTAGAATTTGAGGATTCTAAAAATTTGCAAAACGGCCTATGAACGTCAAATTCTGATGCGTATTTTCATGCTGAACATTTTGATATATTATACGTTTTTTCCCGACATCGTATGCAAAAGTTATAGCCGTTTTACTTTTTCATAACACTTTTTTGCAAAACATGTCCAAATTTAACTTTTTTAATTTTCCTAACTAATAGATGTAGTAATATAACTACATCTCGAAGGATTTTATCATTTTCTTTTGTTTTTTTCAAAATTGAAATGGTGATACACCAGGGGGGGTAGAGTTTGAGACACGAACCCCTTTAGTCCCGGTTTGAGGCACGAACCGGGACTAAAGGGCATCACACCCTTTAGTCCCGGTTCGTGTCTCAAACCGGGACTAAAGGTCTAATCTTTAGTCTCGGTTTGAGATATGAACCGGGACTAAAGGGTGCGATGCCCTTTAGTCCTGGTTCGTGCCTCAAACCAGGACTGAAGGTCTCATTTGAACTGGGACTAATGTCTTTAGCCGCTCGAACCGGGACTAATGCTCACATTAGTCTCGGTTCGTAATGGAACCGGGACTAATGTGTATATTGAGCTGTGACCAAAGCCCTGTTTTTGTACTAGTGAGCCTTGGCTAGCGTCATGTTGTGAGTGAGGAATGCGACCTGCCTATTGGAGCTGAAGCTTGAGTGCTTGGTCTGAGTTGTAGTGTTTTCATGTGCATTGTGATGTGTCGTGTGTGTGTAGTTTCCTCATGTTGTAGTGCCTCTTCACTCATAACTGTGGGATTTTCTTCTGTTACTGTAACAGACACAACATGCATTATTTTTAGTCATACAGAGACAGAACGAAATTACTCCCCCTGTTCCTAAATATAAGTCTTTTGAAAGCTTTTCATATGGACTACATACGGATCAAAAAGAGTGAATCTACACTCTAAAGTATGTCTATATACATCTGTATGTAGTTCCTATTAAAATATCTAAAAAATTATATTTAGAAACGGAGGGAGTAGATGGGTATGCTCGCTTCATTGTGCCGGTAATTGAGGTTCATCATGCCCCAGTTGAGCATACAATTTTTCTTCTTTTCAGAAGATGAGCATCTCTACTAGGGAAAACCTTATACACAGAATCTTAGCAGCAGCGCGGCTCAAAAAGGGGCGCTACTGCTAATTATCAGCAGCGCGTGTGTGCAAAACTCGCTACTGAGACGGAGTTAGTAGTAGCGCGCTTGGAGCAACCCGCGCTGCTACAAATATCGACCGACAGTGTCCACAAACCTACATTTAGCAGCAGCGCGTTGTCGCGATCGGCGCTACTGCTAAAGCGTTAGTAGCAGCGCGCTTTTCTGAGGTCGCCGCTGCTAATTTTCAAATTGGGCACACTGTTGGTCCCAGTTAGTAGTAGCACTTGTGTGGGAAGCGCGCTGCTGCTAATTTCTTATTAGCAGCGTGTTTTACCACCCGCGCTACTGCTAAGCCAGACCAGCCCACCACCTTTCCCCACCCGTCCTCCCCTCCCCCATCTCCTCTTTTCCCTTTCCCCTACCCCCACATCCTCCCTCTCTCACTCTTCTTCTTCCTCAATACTTCTCCCCCATTACTCTCCCTCTCCTACCTACCTTTCTCTCTCTTCATTACTCCTAGCTAACTACACCACCTCCATTAGTGCATCTCCTTTCTCTTTTTCCTTCCCCCTCCACTAGTTGAAGTTGTCTCCTCCCAAATTAGCTAGCTAGGTAGATGTAGCATTTAGTTAAGTGACCTATTTGCCCCCTAACTAGATCTATCTTTGTCAAGAAGAGCTTTGTGCACTTTTGATCTCCCAACATCATCATCTCCACCGTGTGCTCGATCTCGAGATAGAGGTGATTAAAATTTCATGCTTTTGCAAAATGGAAATATGTTTATGTGTGTGTGATATGGTAATTGGGAGATATGATGGAAATTGTGTGTGTGGCATGAGTTGACGCCAAATTGTGCTTTTGAGTTGCCTATGTTTTGCCGAAATGTCGATTTATTTCCGTTTCGGCGAATTCCGGGCAAACTCTAGATCTATATATGTCCTATTTTTAGGCAAGGTCATGCCGAATTTTTGTATGACTTTGATGCATGCACGCATTTTTATAATCAATTTGTTTATTATTACCGTGCAGAGTTCACGATGGTTAGTGGAACGATGGTGGACAGGTGGTTGCGGTCGGTGGTGCAGGACATGAAAGAAAATAACCGGACAGAGGTTTTATGTCCATGTCGAAAATGCAAAGGAATAGTTTGGCTTGACCCCCATGACGATGGTCGTGTCGATGCGCACCTGCTCATGACTGGTTTCATGTATGGCTATACTCGATGGATAATTTAAGATGAGGATGATGATGTTGAGGACGCCGACGGGGCAGGCAATGATGACACAGGGCAAGACGAAGAGATGATCGATAATGGCAATGAAGAGGCCGGACATGGTGGCGGAGAAGGGGTTAGACATGGCGGAGGAGAAGGCGCCGGACATGGCTGCAGAGAGAACGACATGGACTGCACGAAGCAGAGTTCGTCGGTACTAAGTTCAATCGTGCGGGACCCTCATGTTCAAGCATTGCTTCGCAAGGAGACGAGTACTGAGAGAGCTGCTTCTAGAGAGGAGTCTAAGCTGGAGCAACTGGTGGTAGACTTGAGCACTCCATTGTATGATGGTTGCAATCCTGAGGTGACCCGCTTGAGTTTCACGCTCCAACTCCTGAAGACGAAGGCTAAAAACAGATGGACCGACACTAGCCTCGATGAGCATCTCAAGTACCTAAAGGATGTTCTTCCCGCGTGGAATCTATGTCCTACTAGTGTTGATGAGGCCAAGAAGATTGTGTGACCTCTTGATCTGCCACACGTTAGATACCATGCATGCATCAACGATTTCATAATTTATCGAAAGGAGCACGCGGAAAAAACAAGCTGTCCGGTGTGCAATGCTTCTCGATACAAGAAGGCCGGGAAGAAATGTCCCCATAAAGTTGTATGGTACTTATCGATAACATGTCCCGTCCGGATGAAAGCTTCATCCAGGGCTATGTGACACAAGAGTGCATCTCTTTCTGCGAGAATTTTCTATATGGCGCAGACCAGCCGCCTGGTGTTAGTGTTGGTTTGCCCATTAACATGCACGATGGGAGGCTCGAAGGAGAAGGTCACTGCAATGGTCGCAAGGAACTGCACGTGGCATACTCAGATCGACACAACGACTTTGACAGAGCAAACTTGGTAGTGCTACAACACCTAGACGAGGTAGATCCTTTCGTGGCACTGCACAAATAAAT